AGTTCAGTTCCTTGCGCGCCTCGCGGTAATGCCTGAAGGGTTCGGATTCATCACTTTGAATGTAGAACTTGATGGCGACCTGGGAGATAAGAAGACTATATCAACAATTTTGGCCTTTGTTTTACATTTCCCGTATGAGTTTTTCTTGCGATACTGGCTGAGAGAGCTTGAAGGTATATCCTTACCTAGGGATTTTACTAAAGGCCGGTTAATGGCGGTCTACCGCCGTCTGTTAGGCATGCTTCCAGAAACCTATAGAGGAATAACTTCTTACTGACCGAGTGCGAGGGTCGCACTAAGGAATATTGCCGCGAGGTCCGTGCGAAACTGACCGAGGACCAATATTCCCCAGTGCAGCTCGAGCAAGTGAGGTAAATAAGTAGCTTACTATATGGCATTCGGGCCAAACTTATTTACTTTAAATTTCCCAGCTTTCGCGACGAAAAAGACATGGCTTATGACCGTTTCCGTGGAAACGGTTCGTATGGCAAAATCCCGACCAAGTAAGAGCTAATCAGGACGCTTGGATCGAGCTCAGGACTACCTTGCCATACAATAAAGGGGCTTTACAGCCTTTCTTTCAGGTGCAGACGCCTGTTACACCACTCGCAGTCGCCTATGGAAAAATTCATCAAGGCCCCTTCATACTGCGAAAAAACCCTTAACTGCGAGGAAATCAACAACGAGCCTGCTACTAGCGAGCTAGGGCGGAGCTAACGGCAAAAAAACAAAACAAAATAAAAGCAAAACGAGAATAAGCGGCGAAAAAATAGCTCGAGGTCTTAGAACGGACACCTAGTTTCATGAGAAAAAGGAAAGTTCGTAGCAGAGCATGTTCGCCCTTATCACGATAAATTCGCTAAAAGACAGAAGATAATAAGTTTACCCCCATCCACATCAGTTCGATTCTAAATTTTAAACTTTTTGCATTGTGGCAGATAAAGTTTCTTTCTACCGAAACCATAATAAATTGCATTAACACGCAAATTTCACACCAGTTACAAAAAGACCGGTGCAATGTAATGGAGAAACAGATACCTTTCCAAAGCCTCCACTTCCCAGGATACTCGAGTCGGCGTCCTCATACCTAACGTCTTCGTGCGACAACAACAAATCAGGATCTACGTAATGTAACATTATATCAGATGCAACCTGGTGAAGATCAACTTCCCAGTTCGGGTGATTGGGACAACGGATTAAATCTGACTTTGAACTTTGACGCTGACATTGGGTAAACTTGAACTTGTAAATGAAATCGACCATCAAATGTATGAAACAACGGGGGACCTGAAAATGGCTAACACCAATCTTATGAGGAATGCCAATAGGGTCTCCGAATAATATGCTAGCAATCTGCTAAAAGGAAACCTGAGCAAATATTAAACTATGACTTTAAAGCATAACAGTACAGAAAGTAACATTCCACTTTCAAGGAAACACCATTTAATCTTCTGAATGTCTTAGGTTGCTAGGAGTTACCAGAGACAAACAATTGAATTTTAACACTCACATTAATGAAGTAATTATAATAATAATAATAGGACATTTATAATGTGCAAATTCCATAAGACGTTCAAATGCGCATGGCAAGATTAAAAACGAAATAAAATGGCTAAAAAGCTGAAATTACAACTAAGAGTAAACTTTCAATAATTTAAAAAGCTAAAATTACAATTAAAAGTAAACTCACAACAATAAAAACAACTATACATGATAACAATGCATGACGGAAAAGGTAACTGTGCTGGCGCTTCTTATGTCAAATGGTAACGCATTCCACAGTTTCGTTGAAGCACTGGTAAAAGAACGATCACCTGGTGTAGCTTTAGACTTAAAACG